TGATTAGTCGACTAATCAAAAAAATAATCGGTGATTAATCGATTATAAAAATAATCGATTGTGGCAGCCCTACCTGTAACCACATGTATTCTTAAAGCTTCATCATCACTATCTTCAACACTGGAGGGTGAAAGCTGTCTCTGGTCAACACAACGAAACTCCCCTCGGATATCAGCTTATTCACAGAGCTATATACATTTGCTGACTCTTGTCCTCCTAGGTGACATTTTTTATTTAATAGAGAGTTCCCACAATACGTTGTATGGCAGGATCAATTGGAGGTGTGTCACTGGACGACACTCCCGATCTCAGCCCTCCTCCACAMGCTCACCTGCTGGGGTTCTGCTCTGCAGTCACAGAACCACACTGCTGTGCATCCTCTCTGAGGTGCACCATTTCAATAAATATTAAATAAGTAAATAAACAACAAAAAGGCTGAACAGTAAAACCACAATGGCTATCTTTTTTTTACCCCACAGCACATTGGACATCTGCCCATAATCACGTACAAGTGAAGAACACTTCATGGGTTTGTTTGTTCATGAGAAGCACTGAAAAGACATCCAGAACAGCTCTTCATATTATTTAGTTTAAAAATACTTTTTTTGTCTGAAGCCAGTTGTTAAAAGAGCCAGAACAGCAGCTGGTTTGATTAAAAGTGAGCCGATGTTCATGTGGCGTCTTTTTTTACCATCACCACCGTTAACAGAAAAAAGACGTTTTCTCACTGCAAACACTTCACCCAACAACACTGATCACTGAGTGAAAAACAAACAACATCCAGTCATCATTATTGTTGTTTATATTCTTATATAAGCTGTGGGAGGGTAGAGGGAGGAATTATAATAATTTATCCTGCTGTTTCTTCAACCACCAAKCCGCTGTCTCACATCATATTGAAGCTACGCACACACATAGGGAAAAGTTTAAATTCATGCTTTTATTTTGAAATGAAGGCGATTTCCAGTTTAAAACTACTAATATATMGCATGCTTTCCAACCAAAGCCCTACCATAAACATGAGAAAATGARCAAGAAGCAGCAGAACTAGAATCCACAACAACTGTTTTCTTWAACACKATGAGCCAAAAGTCTGTTTCAACAAATCACCTCCCCAAACTGTGACGACGTGTGCCATTCTGTGAAAGCAATTTGTCATGCCTTTAGTTGGCAGCATTGCGCTAGAATGGCTCATAGTATATTAATAATTAATAACCAGAGTATATTCTGGTGACCCATGAGACAAATTTGTGCTTTAGATTTAGCTTCCGCTAAGTTTCCTTGAGCATATGCGCTTTAGAGCTTGCAGACCTAAATAATTTTAGTAGAGCTTTAGAATTTGCAAAACTAACTTTTCAATTAGCGATGCTCACCACTGGATTTCAGCATGATCTCTAGCTTTTCAGGATRGTTTGGTCTACTTTACTTTGTCAAACAGGTCCTATTTAAGTGGTTTCTTGATTGAGAACAGGTATGGCAGTAATCAGGCCTGGGTGTGGCTGGGGAAATTAAACACAGCTTTTTAAAGACATGATAAACCACAGAGGGGCATTTACGTTTTCACAGGGCCCTGTAGGTTTATATCCCCCCCACTTAATAATAAAGACCTTTATTTATTAACTGCATTTTGTGTTTACTTGCGTTATCTTTGTCTAATATTTAAATTTGTTTGGTGATCTGAAACATTTTAGAGTGGCAAACATAAAAAAAGAAATCAGGAAGGGGGCTAACACTTTTTTACACTTCTGTATTTTTCAGAGCTTTTACCTAAATTATGCATCTGACCAAACTGCCCACAATGTTCATCAGCATGTGTACTGGCTATATGTACTCTTTTATGTAGTTTTATGTACTGGACATGATTGAAGCTTTGCCTTACACTAAGAATATCAAAAGCATGAGTTGTAGCTTCTATTTTTTTAAACTTTGTCTTTTATTTCCAGCAGATATATTTTGAGAGAACAGTTTTTAGCTCAACATACAGCATTGCATAATACAATTTAACAAATTGAGTTATTATTGGTTTSKTGTGTGCCTGGTGTAGGAATGTGTGTTACTTACCTTCGCAGGAGAGGCCATGGGAGGTGACCCCAGACAAGCTATCTTTACAGACGTTGCAGAAGGTGGGCCGTGCGTGAGAGCAGGCGTACCAGTTGTGCATCCCTGAGAAATGTTCCACATTAAACTGTGCTGTCTGACAAAGAAAAAGCACAGGAAGTTGGAAGCTCTGGGAGCTAAGTCACACAGTGCAAAACATCCTAACAAGCAAAACATTTTCTTTACCAACTCAGACCAACACTCTTGGTCAAGAYTTCATGATGATGTTGCACTATAGAAAACTGAGAATTGTTCTGAAGTTACATATTATTAGTTGTTTCTGTTTTCTACGTTTTTGTACCCATTCAATTCAATTCAGTTTATTTATATAGCACCAAGTCACAAAATACCTTGTCTCAGGGCACTGTACATAAAAAGAACAATCTAAAGAAGAGTGTCCTGATGCATCTCAGTAATCCAGGTAGAAAAAAAAACAAAAAGAAAAAATCAGTAGGTCCTCTGGATGGTTCTTCTTTAGTGAAACGTTTCGTCTCTCCTCCAAGAGACTTCTTCAGTCTGATGAGTTTCAGGTGAACTCAGTCTTATAAGCTCCACCTCCACATGGTGGACAAACAGGTTAGTCACATGCAAAAGAGGGCCATCGCCTAACAATAGGCTTGATTAGCTGTAGGGTCACGTGCCCCATCATCTGACCCGTGTCGTGTTGTTTGTATGTAGTGAGTGCAAGCGGGGCTCGACGTCCCAACAACCAGCTGAACATGAAGACCCTAAACCCAGACCCAAACCAGTCGTCATTCCGTATGTGGCGGGAGTTTCAGAGAAACTGAGACGTTTATTCTCTAAACATGACGTCTCAGAGGCTTTCAAACCCCAAAACACGTTAGGACAAAGATTAGTTCACCACAAAGATCCAGTTCCCCGGCAAAAACACAGTAATATAGTGTATGCTGTTAAGTGTCAGGAGGACTGTGATCAGTCATACACTGGAGAAACAAAACAGTCACTGTTCAAAAGAATGAACCAACACAAACGAGATACATCATCAGGCCAGGACTCTGCAGTTTACACTCATCTACAG